TTCAATGTAAGTAAAAGATGTGTGTATTATACTTGATAGAGTTTAAACAATTAGCTTAAAGCTTTAATGGAGGATAGAAAAACTATAATAAGTATTATCATTCAAGAGTAGAATAATGGCAGTCGAATGATATGTACATGAGGCAAAAAAATAAATAAATAAAAAAAAAAAAAATAGAGCTTCCACAATAAACATATGAACATTCCAGGAATTTGAAATGACAACTTTTGTTATTGGATTTCAAATTCATTAAAATGGACATATTTGTTTAAAGGGTTGGATTTGTGTGAAATCCAATTCCAAATTTTAAATGTTTCCAAACAAGTTGATTGGGACAAATTCAGAATTTCAAATGAAATCCTATTTCTCAAACAAACCTATAATTATTTTGACCCCATGATTAGTAAGTGGATCTAATTTCAGAACGGAATAGTATAATATTGTGAGTGAGTGAATAATTTATTATAGTTAAAGTAAGATGGGACCATAAAAGAGAAAATATGTGTGAGAGAATAGATATTTCTACTATTTAATTGCGGATCATTGAAGAGAGAGAAATAATAAAATAATTTAAGTGGAATTTAAAGTAGAAGAGAGAATTAATTAGATATAATATAAAGTTGCCAAGTATAGAAGTGATGTGTTTAAAAAAAAATCACCCATAAAAGAAAAAATAATGCATTAAAAAAATTAAAAATAAATAAATAAAAAAGCAGGAGTAATTTCATTTTAATATATGGGGAATTGGATGTCCACAAGTTCTCCAAAATATCACCAGCAATAATTAGGGTAGATGAATGATAAAATGATAGTCCAATAGGTGGAAGATATTAAACGCATCTATTTCCTTGTAAACATGGCCTCCAAATTGTACTTTGCATATATAATACTACCTCCGTTTCTTTTTAGTTGACACGTTTTGACTTTAGCACTATTCATCCACCTCCATTTGACCGTATTTTGTGCTTTATACATAATGAAAAATATAGTCATGTGAAATCTTGTTAGATTCGCCAAGTTATATTCTTTCAAAATATCAACTTTTCAACATATTTACATATCGATAATTAAAGATATTAATGATTGAATAAGTGCATTGGAAAACGTGACTATAGAAACATGTCAACAAAAAAGAAACGGAGGAAGTAAAAAAATGATCAATATTGTCTAATAGAATTAGCTGATCTGGAGTTAAGTCGTTTATATATCCCATTGTAAGTAGCACAAAGTAAAAATTGTTTGATCATGAGTAATTTGTGTGGAATTTTCGAGAGTTTATATGAAATGTTCAATAGCTTATATCTAAATTTTAAAAATTATATTACAAAAATTTATATAAAATTTCAAATAACTTATATTTGGTTTTACAGACTCACATAATGTCTTCTCATTAAAAGGGGGAGAATAATTAATTAAAAAATTTGGCGAGTTAGCTTAATATCACAACTTTAGAATGCAATTCAATCTCACGTAACTTATAAGTATACAAACTTGAGAAAAGGGTACTTCCAATTGGATTTTTCATTCATTTAGTTAGGGACATATCGGTATAATCACTTCAATTTTGAAGGTCTTTCTACTGCCGTGTTTGTTCAGATTGGTAGACTCTGCGTGGATCTTGTGGTTTATGCTTGATTCAAATGGAATTGGAAATCTGTCAAGTTTGTATCTCCAATTAAATTATTGTCCTATATCTATCTATCTCCACAAATTGTGGTCTAAAAATCCTTCAGAGTACATAGGTAAATATATCAACGTTTTTTTTTTTTTTAACTGCAAGTGTAGTACATTGAAAACTATCAGACATCAGTACATGTCGCTACTTGGACTCTATGGTCTCTATCTAGCATTAGTAACAAGCCAACAACATTCTTATCTGCTTGGGTGACCTTGCAAATTTGAAGCTAAGGATAATGTAACCAAGAAATATATAGATAACAAGTGAAGGATATAAGTCCAATTTTTTCTATATAAAGAATAAATACTTTTTTTTTTTTGGATATTATACGAAAAGCTACCATATACGTTTCAAATTTTGTGAAAAACTATCTTTTATAAAAATACTAGATGAAGCCCGTGCGATGCACGGTTTGTTTGATTTTTTTTTAATAATGTTTTTTTTTGTATTTATGAGCCTAAAATTTGTTTTATATTTATATAAAATTCCTAATATTAAAAGATAATATATAATATTTAATTAATTTAAACTTAAAAATCTCATTCGCCAATTATTCTTACATGACATTTAAATTATTTAATTCTAAAATAAATTAATAATCTCTTATTTAATTGGCTACTACTAAGATTTATAATCCTACATGGCGCGCTGAGAAAATTAGATCCTACGTGGCTCTCTAAAAACTCGGGAAAAAACTCCCCTTTATATATATATATATATATATATATATATATATATATATATATATATATATACTAGTTTTGTGCCCCGTGCGATACCCAGGTTGTTTATTTAAAACTATACAACGTGGCACGACACTCAAATTTTATTTTATTGAAAATAAAATTCTAAATTAACAATTTTATCCTAAAATTCTATCCAAATTTAATTCATAATAAAATTATAAACTAACTTTTTTATCTTATGAAGTGTATTTAATCTATCCAACGTGGCGCGACACTTGGCGAAAAGTTAGAATGCCAAGTGTCGCTGCCTCGTGACCTGGCTAAAAGTTTAGCTTTATATATTAGTTATATGATTATTGTAAGTAACTTCCTTATAAAACACTAAATGTTATAAGAAACTACCTTATAAAATACTAAATGTTATAAGAAGTTACCTTTAGCTGGATTATTGCATTGAATAAGAGACGCTTAATGACCCGTTTTCAATCATATTTTTATCCTTTATCACCCAATTTCCCCATTGCCCCCTTATAACCCCTAATTTCGCTTTCCTTTCAATGTTAATCAAGCACATGGTAGTAACTTACCGCATTTAGTGTTTATATAAGGTAGTTTCTTACAACAAATTTTTTATAAGATAGTTTTTCACAAAATTTGAAGTATATAAGGTAGTTTTTAACAAAAAAATTTCTTTTCTTTTTTGTTCCATCTAGTTCACCCTTAGGACTAATTCGGATTCAAGGATCAATTCTGGGTTGTTAGGCTCTAGTCCCCTTCCAATTCACTACAAAAAAATAGCTCGATTTTGACGAACATGAAAAAATGTTGGAAGTCCCGATTTTCTGATGAATTTTGTGAGAAACTACCTAGTAAACCTAAATTTTGTGAAAAATTACCTTTTTTTTTGTAAGAAACTACCTAATAAAAGGTAAAATGTTGTAAGATACTACATTTGACCGAATTTCTAGACTTAATTTTACGATGATTGCTTCTCAAGGTGGTAAGGTTATTTTCGAGGTGGTTGGAGGATATTTTGAGTTGTTGAGAGTAGATTAATGCTTCGGGGTGGTAACTTTGGGTTATAGGTGGTGGTAAGGCAATTTTAAGCAAGTTGTGTTAGTTTTGGGAATGAAAGCAGTGGTTTGAGAGTGTTTTGAGGCCGAACAACAGTGGAAATCCGATATGGGTAGTATTTTATAGCATTTTACCTAAAGTTAGGTTGTCTTTTTATTTATTTTATTATAACATTTTTTTAAGAGGTAGTTTCTCTCAAAATATGGGTTTTATTAGTTAGTTTTTAACAAAAAATTCTAATATAAACAAAGAATAAAAAAAAAACCTTCATTTGTAACTATTTATGCAATTTGATCGAGATTTAGCACTAATTCGGCTTAAAATACCCAAATGCATAGTGGTTTGGGAGTAAATTCTTACCAAGAATATGAATTAAACACAAAATCGACAATCGAGATCTGTTTATTGAATGCAATGAAAAGATTTTGGGGCTTACCAGCGGTTAGTACACCAGTGAAAGTCCCTACAAATAATATTCACAACCGAGATCAAGAAGAATAAATGAGATGCAAAAAACAAGAGAGAAGAGTAAAAAAATTCTTCTAAAAACAAAAAATCTAATAACGGAGGCTAGGAAAAACCCTAGAGAATACCCTAAGTAGCATAAATTAACTAGTTTTCAGCCCGTGCAATATAATGCACTGGTTTTTTTGGCATATTTAAACTAGAGAAATATGTGAAAAGGGACCTTTTTAGTGGTCTATGTATTGTAAATGGACATTTTCAGTGAAAAGTTGTGAAAAAATTACCTTTTAAGTTGTATTGTTTTTTAAGGGGGTATATGGCTGAGTTTTTTTAGTGGTCAACACCGAAACTCCAACATTGATTTTCACATGTTAGTCACGTGAATGAGTTAAGAAAAATAAAAATAATAATAAAAAACTTCCCCAAATTTCCCTCCATTCTCGAACTACCCCTTTCATTTTCTCTCTTTTGCTTTCTTTGTCTCTCCTCCTCTCTAATTCATCACTTATGTACTCTGCAAATGGAGGGCCAAACATTTACACATTCTGCCATTGTTGGTGAACACTAAACAGTGAATTGAAAGGAATTTGAGAGCAATTGCAGATAAACTGGTTCTAGGGTTTGAACTCTATATCTGATATGTTAACTCTTTCTCTAACAAATTAGAGAGGAGGAGAGAGAAACTATTGTACTTTGTATTTTTTTTTAATTTTTTGAGTTACATGACTAACACGTGAAAGTCAAAGTCGGAGCTCCGACATTGACCATCAAGAAAACTCACCCAAGTACCCCCTAAAACAATAATACAACTTAAATATATTTTTTTTCACAACTTTTCACAACTTTTCACTTAAAAGGTCATTTTACGAAAAGTCGATTACTTTCAAGGTCCCTTTTCATATATTTCTCTTTTAAACTCAGTTATTTGTCAAATTATAAACACAAAGTGATATAATAAAGAAAAATCTTGGTGTAACGACTACATTGTGACAGTGGGGGTAACATTTTTTCTCTTATAAATACCAACTCTTACTAGCTCCTACTCTCCCATACCACTCAAACAACCTATAAACTAAAGCTCAAAAATTCTAAAGAAAATGACTCCCTTTCTCCCACCAGCAATTGCAATAACCATTCTTCTTTTGCTCCAACTCGTACCTCTCCCTACTTTGGCGGTCTCGATGCCCTCGACTGCTTATATTAGAGACGAGGATGGTGAACCGTTGCTAAACGGCGGAACCTATTACATTATCCCACAGAGAACCAATGGTGGAGGTCTCACCGTTGCCCAAAAAGCACAAACCACACCATGCCCTCTCTTTATAGCCCAAGAGAAAGATGGTTCATCTAATGGCCACGCTTTCAAAATCACTTCTCCAATAAGCTCAAAGTACCTTCCATTTGGTCCAACTGAATTCTACTTAACCAAAGTCACTACCACCTGCACGAAACCACTAGCGTGGCGATTAATCACGGATAATGCAACCGGACATATCTATGTGGCTGCAGGTACTACTCAGTCGCTCGGGCCGACTGCATTCAGTATTACAGGACCATTTTTTTATGTCCAACCATTTGAATATCAGATATTCTATTGTGACAATGTCTTATGCAAACTTGCTGGACTCTATGAGAACGGACTTTTGGGCATGAATCATGATGTTAATCTTGCCTATCGTTTCAGAAAAGCTTTTACCCACACTTCACAAGTTATGTGATGTTTAATTTTTATAATTTTGCCAGTGTTTCTTCCATGCTATGTAATTAATGTGAACAAATTCCTCCTTGGATTAATAATAAAACAATAATATGGCTGTTATTACATTTTTGTGCTTAATCATACTACTATATATTTAGGAAAATTTGTTGAAAATCATCTTATAAAAACCAAATTTGTTGAAAACCATCTTATAATTTTATTTTATTTTTATTTATTTATTTTTTTATTTATTTTTTTGTCAAAGCACACCTGTTTTAAATTCTTTTTTTTGTTGAATCCCACCACTTTTCAAATTTCGACTATCGATTGAAATTATCGGCGTTGATTAGCATGTGCACCTCACGTGATCTACTTAACCCCACTTTTCTATTATTCCCCCTCCCTTCATTCATTCTCCCTTCGTCACTTACATTTCCGTGCAATTATATATATAAAAGGCTATAAAAACCAAAGTATGATGAAGAGGATTGACGAAGAGGGGAAAGAATGGAGGGAAATGATATGGGGGAAAATTAAAAGAAAAGTAGAATTAAATGGGTCACGTGAGGTGAACATGTTAGTCAAAACATCGGAAATGTTAGTAATTAGTCGAAACCCGAAGAAATGGTGGGACTTAACAAAAAAAATTTTAAAACAGGTGTGCCTTGACAAAAAAATTTTAAAACAGATTTGTTTTGACAAAAAAAAAATTATAAGATGGTTTTCAACAAAATTTGGTTTTTATAAGATGGTTTTTAACAAATTTTCCTATTTATAACAAGTCCATTGATGCTTTTTGTGCTAATTTTAATTTAGCTATATATTGAGGCTAACACACCAATGTTGAATGGATATCCCTCTGTTTTATAATGTTTCTCACTTTTGTATTTAATAAACAATTGCTAATTTGCCCTATTTTGATTATAAATTTATATTTTTCAATTATATTTAGTAAAATTGTAAAATTTATATTAATTGTAAAAGTAATTCATTAATAAAAATTCATTCGTCATTTATAAAAGAAATCGAATATTATAAATACTTAACATATTGAATTCAATAAAGAGTTCCTTATAAAAATTAAGAAATTTAATATTTTACCACCCACAAATATCCCAACTTTTGAAATTACCACCGGTTTTTTTTTGGGATGTACATACAATAAGGCGTATGCAAAATCATCAAGTAATTTCATTCATAAGAGAGTACATGAGGTTTATGTAAGGGAAGGTGTGTATTATCCAATCTATATCCTTGTCTCATCTTTTTTTTTCACTTTTACTTTGCCTATTTATATTCAGTATATTGTTCTGTATATGTGTCACAAATCCAACACATTAGAACAATTCAATAAATCCAAAATATGGTCCCCTAGCTAAAAAAACAATAAATTCAATTTTTTTTTATTTTTTTTAGCATTTAGAAGGATAGGAAGCCAAGAAACAGATTGAAATGATAGATTGCCAATTTTCTTTTGTCTTGATCAATTATGGTAAAAAAAATAATATTAAATAAAAAGACAAAATTTGTACACTATTTGATTAAGGGATTTTGCTCCCACCAGTCACCATCTGACAAGTGGACCAATCAGGTTCCGCCATGTGTCCGTCACATGGGCCAATAGGAGCCTGCCACGTGTCAAGCAATGATCCGTCCACCTTGGACCAATTACGACACGACACGTGTCCTTCCCATAACACATGGGATAACCGGTCACCTAGGCCCAACTTCCGAGGGAAGCCGAATCAGCCCAAGGTTAACCTAAACCTAGATTGGCACGTTTCCCGAGGTTATAAATACCTCCCTTAATCCTCATTAAGGGGGAGAACAGGCTGATCACGCTAAAAAAACAGATTACCTACATTAAACACTCTCACCTAGAGAGACCCAATCACTTTAATTTCCGCATTAATTACTCCTTAAACAAGTACTAACTTGATCGTTGGAGGCGGAGCTCCCACCACAAGGAGTCTCCGTTGTTTTGCAGGTACAGGCGTCCGGTTCCAGTCTCGGAATTGTAACTCTCCCGCAGGACATCAGAAAACCCCAAAACATTTGGCGCCGTCTGTGGGGAGAGTACTTCTGAGATGGCATCCACGTTTGTACCGACTCCTGAAGAGAGGCGTCCCCTAGACGACCCTCAAGTTCAGTCGGACCACGATACTGAGAATGAATTTGAAGTTGAAGCTCACACAGCTTCAGACGGGACCCTAAGGGCCCGACGTACCCGTTATACCGAAAGGAGGGAACGGGAACATCTTCATACAGGAAGCGAGCCAGCAGGCGCACCGCCTGTTCGGCAGCAGCCGACTGATGGGTCTGCTCCCATCACAAGGAACGAACTCATGACCTTCATGAGGGACTTCAAGGGAGAAATTCAAGAGTTGATCAACAAGAAGCCGCCTGCTCTGGACAAGGAGCAGTCGGCTAAGAAACCCTCCACTTCACAGAAGAGGAAGCCAATTCAAGGGCGAAAGGCGACTCCTCATCCTAAATCTAGGAAGCGGGAGCCGACTGCCCTTGATTTCACAAAATACCGTTTTCCTACTCCAGGAAATAGGAAACCTGTTCGTCATATTCAGGCGGACGGGTCGAGGAAAACATACACAGACGCTCGGCTACTGCTAGAGCAGAAGAAAAGCGACCGATTTTCAGAGTCGGCCTCTACTTCAAATTTCCAAGACAGTCTGCGAAATACCTCAATGAGGCATACTCAGTCGTATCATGAGAGTCAGTCAGGCGGCACCTCCCGTCAGTCCGGCTTTCATAGCGACCAGGCGGTACCAAACTTACCGTTTGTACCGCAACAACAGTATTTTTTACAGCCACCTCCGTTTGGTGGACATGCAGCAAAAAATGTCCAACCTATGGACTGGCAGCTACGGTTGCTTAGACTTGGTGAACAGCCGTCAGCCTTCTCCAAGGAAATTACTGAAGCCGCTCAGCCGGCCAAAGTGAAAAATGTATTAGTAGGCGCCTATGACGGCACTACTAACCCAGAAGACCATCTGATGGCATTCACTAACCTGATGTACCTTCAAGGGTTGGATGATCCCACTTGGTGCAAGTGTTTCCCAGCGACTCTTAAAGGAATCGCACAACAATGGTTCGGCAACCTACCGACTGGTTGTGTAAATAACTTCAGGACGCTTGCTTACTTATTCACCTCCAACTTCGCCATGAACATCCCTGCGAAGAAGACGACCCTTGATTTAGGAACAATTCAGCAGGGCGAGAAGGAGGGTCTTCGTTCTTACATAAGGCGGTTTAACCTGATGAGAATACAGATTCAAGGGTTACCGGATGAAGTAGCCTATACTGACTTTTTCAGAGGTCTCAAAGACGGGTCGACCTTCAAATTTGATTTGGTCCGAAAGAGGGTGGCGACTCTTCAAGAGGCCTTGATTGAAGCGGAAACCTATATACAGGCGACTGATCTTTGTACGGTAAAACAGTCGGACGGGAAAAGGTCCGACAAAAGAGAAGGACGACAGAAACAGTCGTCAAACAAAGACGAGAAGAGAAAAGAGGTCTGGGCGGCTGATTCCTCTAAACAGCCGGCCCAGAAAAAGAAAAAAGAATTCAAACCATACTCCCCAAAGTATGTGTTTAACAAGGATAGCCAATTTATCCTAAAGGAAATCAAGGGACGGATCTCAATTGAGAAGCCGGTCCCCATGAAGGGTTCTGCAAACAATCGGAACCAAGAAAAATTCTGTAATTATCATGAAGATGTTGGTCATCACACCAATGAATGCATCAGTCTCATGCGGTATCTGGACCGCCTGGATGAGCAAGGTGATCTTGACACTTATGTCAAGAAATCTACGGGGAACACTTCCTCAAAAAAGCAGTCGACCAAAAAGAATCAACAGGCCGACAGCTCCGATACATATGATGCAGTCGTCTACACCATTGCAGGCGGCTTCTCAGGAGGCGGCCCCACTATTAGGGGCAACAAAGACAATATCAGACGGTTAGATGTAAATTCCGTTCACCAAGAACGGCCCTCCAAATATTCATTTCCTGAGATTGTCATCACTGAAGAAGATCTAGGAGGGGTAAGAGGGCCGCATGACGACCCTATCGTTATTGAATGTAAAGTGGCCAACCAGAGAGTTGGCCGAATCCTCATAGATACCGGAAGCTCCTCAGATCTCATCAGTAGAAAATGTCTGTCGAAACTAAAATATCAGACTGATTGCATACATCCGGCTTCCCACCCTTTAGTAGGGTTTGGAGGAGGAGTCGTCCACCCAGTGGGACGAGTGGATTTACCCATCCGCCTAGGCGAAAAAGGGGAAGCACGACACATGGTAGTCCGGTTCCTGGTAGTAAAAGAACTCTCGGCCTACAACATGATTCTGGGACGACCAACCCTGAATAATTCCAAGGCTGTTATAATCCCATCTCTTATGTTGCTCAAGTTTGAGAGGGATAATGGAACAGTCGGGTCCCTAAGGGGAGATCAGAGGATGGCCCGAGAGTGCTATCTCTCGGATGTCAATCCCACTGTTATGGCCACTGGGTCGAGTGGTGGAAAAATAGACCTTGACAATGTCAAGGAGAGTGCGCCTGTTCAAAAAGCAGGCGGCAAGAAGAGAAAGGCATCCCAGACAGGGGCCGCCCGAAAAGACAGAAAATAGCAATCATTGGCAGAGGAGCGGTCGGATGAATTCCGCCCTCAGCCGGCTGGTGAGCATACGGACCTGATCCTAGACGACTCGCGTCCTGACCGAACAGTCAAAGTTGGGACGAATGCTCTGAGAGTCCTAAGTGACGACTTTCACAAACTATTGAAAGAATACAAGGACATCTTTGCATTCAAAGTCCATGAAATGCCAGGCATTAGTCCTGATCTGGCGGTACATAAACTGGCCGTGGATCCGAAAAAGAAGCTGGTACGGCAGAAGAAGCGAAACCATGGCGAAGAAAGAAGTCAGGCGGCAGCCGCCGAAGTTAAAAAATTACTTGATGCAGGGTTCATTCGGCAATGTTACTTCCCAGACTGGGTTGCAA